TTGGTGAGGTAGAACTGGCTCATAAAATGAAATCAGGTACTTGGACAAACTGTTAAATACTGCCTGCCCCCTCCTGTTGCTGTTCCTTTTTTGAAGAGCCACAATGTCGTGCTTGGTTTGGCAAAGCTTCCTTCACATTGCATCTGACAGAAGGTCAGGTCCCCAATGCTGAACTCTTTCTGTACCCCCTTGTAATCCTATCCCTACTTTCAGTAAAATTACTGTAACGTGAAACTGTTTTTTACATAAGAAAAGTGCAACTTGTAAATAAGTGTTTTTTAGAACAGTAGTTCAACCATATCATGTCAGACTTTTGGTAATTAAATTGATTAAAAATATTATGGCAATAATGTTACCTATATAATTAAGAAAAGGAAAACAGTGAGCATGCAAAGGAGTGAGCTCCTGGTAACAGAAAATCAGTTTAGGAGAAACCTTAGAGGTTAATAAGCAGTATTGCTGAAGAAATTAATTTTTTCACAAAAATTGTTTTAGCTGTTGTGGCATCCATAAAAGCGGAATGGTTCAAAAAAATTGGATAAACAGAGAGATAAAGGCTGCAGAAGGTTAAGCGGAGATTGATTAGTCAAAAAATAAATTGCTTCTTACTTTTTGCTTAATCCATGAGTCATAGTAAAATGAAATAACAAAACCATCTTAGAACATTTGATCTGTTATGATGAACTGAGAACCTGTATTGCTTCATCTGCTTAGGCAGATAAAATCTACTTGAAAATCTCTAGGCCATCTTTCGATTCCTGCAAAACATCTATAGAGTACATATCTGACAAAATATCAAAATGTCAGTTCACCATCCTTAACACAATTTGCTTTAGTTTCCCTTTGAAATAATTTTCAGAGGGTTTATATATGCAGTTTCATTGTCACATAATCTGTTGGGAAAAGCATGAAGGGTCCGGAGCGCATGCCCAAGACAAGGTGAGAGACCTGAGCTTGTTTAGTCTAGTGAGCAAGACACTAATACTTGCCAGCAAATATTTGTGGAATTGCAGGGGTGCCATGGAGCTGAACTTTTTGAGGTGAACAATATAACTAGGTTGTGGCTTGAGAGGTTCAGGCTATATGTGAGGGAACATTTTTCCCCTGGGGATTAGTTTAGCAGGTGGAAAGGGAAATGAAAGAGTTCCTCAAATCAATCTGTACAGGCTTTCAAGACTTCCCCAGGCAAAGCCATGACTGACATGCTCCCATGTGTCACTAGTCCTACTGAAGTGAATGACTAACCTAGGCAAACTTCAGAGATGCCTTCCTGCCTACCAGGCCTTCCAAGATGTGTGACGGTCACTGTCAGATGGTTACATTTTAACCAATTATAGGAGGGTTTGTTACTCATTCATGTGGAATGGTACTTAAAGTGCAGCAGCATCCCTTCTAATGTGTAAGTACATAATCATACCCTTTGTGTTCTCTTAGGTTATAAATAGTAACTACCATCATGTAATTGTAGTGTTTTTACCTCTAGTGGACCTAGACTTTACTTGGAAACCATTCAGGTAGACAGGCCCTGAATGTGTGTTGGATAGTCGTATTGTTATATGAAGATTCTGATTTTAGAGCTAAATTTAAGTTACTGTTTCTGATTTTATAATGAGTAGTTTCTGGTGACATAAAGGCAACGTTCTTCTCCAAATAATGATGCCCAAATATCTTAGTGCAAAGAATTTAGAAGCTTGGCTCTTGGGAAGAACTACTTAAAAGTGAATGTTGATATTAATCTGATTTCTTTTAAATGTCTAATACTACAGTCTTATTACATGTATCTTTTATGAAGGCGTATTTCTTTATGGAGCATTGCAATGTGGCATACATTCAGAGAAAATAACCGGTGTTAGCCTAATTCTTTTTTCCATATTTCTGTTGTAAAGGCAGAACATAGTGTTGTGTGGGCTCTTCCTTGAGAAGGATCAGGGAAATTCATAGATCTGTCAATTATGGATCTTAATGAGAGTGACCTTTTTCTTAAGTAATTTAGACAACTTGTCATCCTTTGCCAACTTCTTAGAAAATGTGTCTTCAGCCTTCCCAGTGTCGTATTCCCTGCTGTTCACGTCATTCTGCAGATGGAATTGCAGTAAGGGCCATTTTGTAGTGACGTACACTTTGGAATAATCTCTATACTGAGATAATTACTGTTTGATGGAGCTACCATGTGGTGTGCAAGACACTTTACTGTCTTGTTACAGAAAAATGGTCAAAAAAGTAAATTCTCTAGCATAACAATTTCAGTACTAGAAAGCAAGTATTCTTTATTTGGTGCCGGATGCACGGGGAATACTTCCAATCAAATTGTGCATACGGAGAATAGAAAAGCTCCTGTTTATATATCATTTTTTACATATATATTCGTTGGTTTTCCCAGAAGAAAAATACTTATGATAATAATTTCCTCAAAATGATTAACATATGTCCCCTCCTCTTTGCACATACATCCTTCTGTCTTGGGGATCCCTCTGGTCATCATGGACCCAAAAGTTACAGCTGACTGCATGATGAACTGGTGGTACTTCCCAAATATGGAGCTTAGTTAGCATACCTAAGCTGGTTACTCTCCCGTTTCTCTTCTTGGTTAATGTTTAACATGATCCCAAAAAAAAAAAGCATTGTGCCATTCCATAGGCTACTGATTTTTAAGAATAAGCATTGTATTTTCCCCAGCATATTGCATTATTTTTTCTGCTGCAGCTTCTTTACACTTCCTTCTGTATAGTATTTTTTTTGTTTTAACACAGATAGGTTGTAAATTAATTGAACTATTTTTGAAATCATGAAAACCTGCTTTTTCTCTAATCTCTTGTTTGAGTGAAACCTTTATTACATGTCTTGTCAAGGAGAGGTTTAAGTCAGATGCCTCAAATCAACTATGAAAGGACTTGAGTGGCATTTATAAATCAGTAATAGGAAAAAATTGACTGTGTATTTCAATTCATTTTATACAGAATTAATAATTAATATATAAGATATGCTCATCTTATACTGAAGACACAGTATTTTTGTCTTGGTTGTATATGTTTCATGGTATTTTTGTGATATGTAGCAATTATTACAGAGTTCATTTTTTTAGCTTATTGGGTGCCAAAATTTGTTCTAGGTTTGATGTCAATGCGGCTTTAGTCTGCCTGCATTTCCTCCTTCATCTTGTTTGGCATCCCTTTCAAACAGAAAGTGAAAATGTGCTCTGGGGCTAATAACAGTGTTTGCAAAACACAGTTTTCTTGAGCTTTGCTGGAGGAAGGGTCATAAGTTTATCCAAACAGATCTATTTATTTTGTCTTTGCAATTCTATGTTGTGTATATATGGGAAAAAAACAGCATTGTGGGTGAAAATATTACAGTCTGTTTGAAAGGTTTTTGTGTAAATCAGGAACATTTTGTCTAGGTAGGTAATTAGTCTGTGTTTTCCTTGCACTTTTCTTATTGAGAAGTTATCAATAGCTTATAAATCTACTGTGAAAGAACACTTCTAGTTGAGACACTATGCTGTTTTACCTTCTGAGTGTCACATTAAAAGATAACAAGAATTAAGGAGTTTAGGTAAATATTTATAATCTAACCAGTAGTTTGTAAGTTTACTTTGCCTTCTCTTTTTCAACAAGTTATAAAAGTGAAAACTCGGTAGTTCCCATTGCCTTTCTGTAAGGTCTTGTTTAGAGAAGAGGTCTGCATAGAACGTTGAGAAGAAAATATGGCCTGATTAACAATTAGTCTAAGGACTTATATGTTCAGCTGTGTTGACATTTGAGTTTTTCTCCTTTCAGAATGAAATCCTGGCATGATTAAAATCAATACGAGTCATGAGATCTGAGTGCGTGAAAGCAAATATTTTATTCCTCACATTAGTTTCTTAGTCTATAAATTCAGCTATTTATTTTCACTCACCACAACAACATGCAATAAAGTTTAATAAATAACATGAAGATCCTAGGGTAATATATGAGACCAAATCATCAACTTTTTCTACAAATTTGAATTGATTTGCAGTTTGTTTTTTGTTTTGTTGTTTTAAGTTTATTTGATTTTTTTAGTTCCTGTTCATGTTTATGTTCATCTCTCTGAAATGCAAATTAATGGCAGTAAACATATATTTATGGCAAAACTGTCAGAGTTATCTGACAGATTGTTATATGGTTCAGCAACAGCAGAATTGGCAGTATTCATCTTACCATTCTCTGAAGCCCGATTTGGTGGTGAAACAGGCTTTTTCAGGGTGCTGCAGCTTTAAATAATAATGAAAGAGTAAGTTAGTTTTGAACCATGTTTGTTATGTCTCTGTATTAACCACGTCATGTCAGCTTAAGTTCTTCAGAACTAATCAAGTTGTAACATATTTTACAATGACAGAAGAGTATTACAGATAGAATCAGCTTTACTGACATTTCAGCTACAATGAAAAGTGGTTTCAGGAGCAGTTAAAGAATTAAAAGCTAATCCAGTGATGTTAGAAACAAATTTAGCAAATTACAATTTTTTAAAATTTATGTCATAAACTTTTGATGTTGACAAAATGTTCTCAGGTTCCAGATTTTCCTGCAGTTATTTTAAGGCTGATCTCTAAGAACTACTCAACTCTACACTCAAAATATTCAAAGGCACGTAAAACAAATAATGTATTAGACCTTGAGTTGGTTATTATGTCTTGTGGTGCTGTACTTGTCCATACCGTTAACCACTTACATTTCAGTAACCACCAGTGCATACTCAGGCTTTACAAATGTACCTGTTACAACTTCCGTGTTCATGACTAACGTTTTAAAGAAAACTTATGCTTCAGCAGTTGAATTTGCAGAAGGAAAATGTTTGCATATTTAATTAACTGCTTACTTACTACTTTGGTTAAATTACTTGAACCTTCTATATCAGCAGGAAAGTGCAAAAAATTAAATGGATCCTTTTACCAAATAAAGCGAAAATGCATGAAGTTACTAAAAATAAAATAAATAAGTTCATGACCACCAAAATTCTGCTCTTTTTTTTTATTCCAGAATCGAATGGAAGAAAGCAAAGCACTCTTTAGGACAATTATCACCTATCCGTGGTTCCAGAATTCTTCAGTTATTCTATTCTTAAATAAAAAAGATCTATTAGAGGAGAAAATTATGTACTCCCATCTAGTTGATTATTTTCCAGAGTATGATGGTAAGTATAATGACATCAGAGTTCATTCTCTGTTTACACTGCAGCAATGGCAAATTGTAGTAGCCATGTCCAAATGCTCGATAGATAGATCCTTTGATATATTGTGCTCCTTCAAGAAAAAAAGAAAAAAAGTGAAATGTGATGGAACTGTTGTTGATTTTTAGACTACTAGGTTTTCGTTTTATTCTGCAATTAGTTGTGGGTAGCATGGCAGAACCTTTAGTGGGAAATTGTAGTGAACCACGTTCTGTCCTTTTTCATAAGTTAGGGGGAGGGTTTAAATTGAAGTGTAAACATAAAAAATAAATAAAATGTATCCTCACTTGTACACGTAGTCATCCATACTTCCGGTTTTTTGAGGTTTGTTTTTATATAAGGTTGAATACTTAAGAGGAAGTGTCATAAACTCTCTGTAACACTCAGAGAAACAAGTGCCACCCTTTACACTCTTTTAGTTTATTTTCATTTTACATTAATTATTTTAGCTTAGTGTGCTTGTCCATAAAAAGAGTTGTGTATTATGTAAGTGTTTTTACTAAAGCTGTGCTTTCAGAAAGTTCTTCTGAGAGGAAGACTAAGCATTTTGAGGTAACTGAGTGAAGGAGGCCTTGATAACAAAGAAAAATTGAACTCATGTAATATAAGGGGTCTAAAGAACTAAATGTTCCTATTTTTCAAAAAGAAAATTCATTTCATCCCATCAGGAAGGGAGTAGCTGATTGGGAAGCTGAGAAAGAGATTAAAACTCTCATGTACAAATATGGAAAGTAATAACAGGAAAAAATGCACATTTTGTTTTCTGTTAAAGGGGAAGGGAACAATCAACAGCCTTCAGGACCAGACCATATTATTTGTGAGTCAATGAAAATTTAATTTCATAGTACTGTATAGAAGAGAACTAGCAGTTGAATAGAAATATGCTTGTTCTTTCAAATTTATTTTGTGTGACAAGTTCCCTAGATGGCTTCCTGAACGTGAGAAGACTCTACAGTCTGCTCAGCTCTTATCACCACTCAGGTGTTGACACAACCTGTGTAAAATGCTTGTCCTGAAAAAAAACCCAGACAGAACTCAATGGCTCAGCTCATAGAAAGTGTTTCCCCTGTCCTTTGCCATTAGTGAGGGGGAAAAAAGATTATGTGTTGGTACAGGGTTGTTGGAGTCAAGACTTGGAAGTCTTGAGGAGTTTTTGTCTCTAAATTCTGCAGATCTTTTGGGACTTAACTCTATAGACAAGGTTATGGTTTGATTTGATTCCGGTGACAGAGTGGGGTCTGTGGCTTGCAGAGGTCACCATGTGGTCCTATCTTCTGTCCAAGCACACTGAGGATGTGGGAAGTGGGAAGATCTAAGGAAGGTATCAGAATTAGGTGTTCTTCAGCTGAATCACTTCTCTCATCTGTTTTTCTGCACAAGGGAGAAGGTAGCATAGGAATGAGAATTGCTGGCCAGGTTGCCAAGTTGGATGGATTAAATCAAGCTAATCAGTTCTGCACAGTGCCTTGTAGGACTATTGGAAGAAGGACTAAGGCATGCTTGTGGGCCTGTGGATCGCATGAAGACATCCTTGTATGGCTAGTAGTAGAAAATTGACTCAAAGACTGGAATGAAGAGCTGGGAGAGGAAGAGAGGAGGGGTTATAGATGGGAGGAAAAGAAGAGAAAAATACTGTTGTAGTACTTCTTACGTAGATCTTGAATGTATCATATAGAGACAGCCTTCAAAAACTGCTGATTAGAGCAGTGGACAAGAAACCTACTACTTCATGCGATAATTCTTTTCCAAGTCTCCGTCTTATTTAGGTCACAGCCACTTTGCAGACTGAATTTAACACTAACTCATTCTACTTTTTTTTTCTAAAGCCCTGAGGTCATAAACATGCTTTCTAACCTCATTTTCCCATATTTGAACATCAGTCAAATAGAAGTTTAAATAATGATAGCAGAGGTATGATTAAGTAATTAAATTTGGGTATAGGCTTTGAATAATCCAATGGATTTTGACAAACCACTGTGTCTAGCTACCGTGAAACTGTTTAGTAAAATTCCAGGAAACTGTTTAAAAACTTAGGTGGTTTATTTTGAAGAAATCATTGTCTTTGAAAGTCGAAAAGTTTTCTTCACGAATACTGCAAATTCATTTGTGCTTTTGGGAGCCCCTGGTGGTCTAGAGGGTAAAGGTGCTGCACTGTCACCGCAGAGATCCGGGTTCGATTCCCGGTCAGGGCCACTCCCCGGGCAGATGGAGCTCGTTAGCCCTGTAAGGCAATCCATCTACGTCCTGAGGACCTCGCTGCCACCGTCCAAGCTCGCTTGGCCCTGGCAGATGAACCTCAGGATTAAAGGGTGGGCTCAGTTCCACGCACACTGTGTCTCACCTAAAAAATCCAGTGCGCAGGCTGGAAGGTGGAAAGACCTTCCCCGGTTCTTTGTTCGCAAAGACTGGCCACTACTATTGATGCTTTTTATAGTGTGGGCGGCCAAACCAAAGGCTAGAGAGTGTTGTGTTTTTGAAGCTGTGGAAGTGTTGATGTCATCTGTGTTTGCATGTGCATATATGTACATCTATTCACGGTGCATAGCAATTGTAAGCTTGAAGTATTAAAAATAAGGTCTATTATCCACTTGTTGAAAAATATGTGGACATGTGCTGACCCACAAAGTATAGATTTCGTAATTACCGAAGGACAGAGCTACCCATAACAACTGGCTACTGGTATTTATATTGCCACGTAGCAACAGGACTAATGAAGAGAATAGGAGGAGGCAAGAGCATAGGAAATGTGTGTTCTGTAGAAACTCACATTCTAAAAACAGGAGAGCAAGAGCTCCAGTGGCTTCTGGAGGCAGCAGTAGAATAATGGAACAGAATTCAACAGCGTGTGGCTTGTGTTCTTGCCACTGCACTGCTATTTTGGCTGTGAACATGAATGAATCCTCACTGTTCTGGGCTGGAAGGCATTACTTTACCTTCTGTGTTCTTTTAAGCTGAAACTGTAGGTTGGTTACATTGACTCTCTGTCCTTCTGAGAGTTAAAATATTAATTTAGATTTGATAGGATCATTAACATACACAATTTAGATAACAAGTGATCAGTTAGAACATGAACCTTTTGCAATCAACACCTTCAACTGGAGAGCGCGTGTATTTTATTATCCCTTAAAGTAAATTAAGTTCTATTGTTAACAATGTCAGACCCGTCCAGCGTTGGCTTCACTGTGCTTCCTATTAAAATCCACATAAAACCAGTGAATCTTGCAGGGCTAAAATAACTGAAGTCTAATTTAAATATAGCAGGTTTAGAACATTCACCAATTCTTAATAGTATTTTTAAAGATTTAACAATATATCTATTTTTTTTGTTTTCATTCTGTGCATTTATAAATCACTTGCTTTAAATAGCTGATTTCTCTTAGTGAAGAATGAGGATAGTTAGCAGGAAAAGATCAGCTCTGAGTTGTTGAACTTCTGAAATTTCCTTTTTTTATTTTAATAGTTCCTACCACAAAGAAAGTAGCCAGTATATGATATTATTGATTAATAAAAGGTCCCTCATCCTCTCTTACATGAAAGACCACAGACTGAGCCTTTCTTGTTTTCTTTTAAAGAACTTAAAGTAGGAAATTGACTTTTAAGAAAATGGAATTTCTTTTCTTGCAGGACCACAGCGGGATGCACAGGCGGCACGAGAGTTCATCCTGAAGATGTTCGTAGACCTGAATCCAGACAGTGACAAAATTATCTACTCTCACTTCACATGTGCTACAGACACAGAGAACATCCGCTTCGTCTTCGCTGCTGTCAAGGACACAATCCTACAGTTAAACCTGAAGGAGTACAACCTGGTCTAACTGTGCCTGGGGGATCCTGCAAAACCAACTTTCCGTGATTGAAGATACACAAGAGGGACTGTATTATAATCTGTGAAAACAATTTGCATAATACTAATTTATTGCTGGCCTGGACTCTGTGAATGTCCACAGAGTTTGTAGTTAATATTATGATTTTATTTAAACTATATGGAGGAAAAAGAAAAGATGCTGAAGTACATTCACAGCACATTTCCTCATTTTTTAGGCAAAATCTTGTGACTCAATGTGTTTCAAATTCTCAGTCATACATTTACGAAGGATAGCAGTTTTTTGCTATTGAAGCAAAATCAAGCTGGTTTCCTCTTTCCCTGACCCTTTCTCGTCCCCTCTTTTCCTTCCCCCCTTATCTTTTACAAGGTACAATGGCCTTTTCTTCCCCAGTTGCATTCCTGGGTGAAATATTTTCTGTTGAGTGATTTGGTCAGGAAAATACTATGATCACAATTTAAGTCATCAGTCATTGTAATTTTACAGTATGTACTTTCTCTGAAGGATCAAAAAGTATTGATACTGTGATTTTTAAATTCTTTACATGGGTGTCTTCATTCTGTCTTCACTTTGAGACTAGAAGATTTGGATTGAAAAATAGAATTACAGTTGTCTAAGGGTATTAAATTTATCCATAATTTTACGTTCAGAAAGGTGCACAGAAGACAATAATGAAATAATTAAAACACAGTTTGGGATGTACATGGAATATTAGAATCTTTTTTTAGTTGCCATGTGCCATTTTTTTTCTCTCTTCTTTTATTTACAGATGCCAAATAGAAAAGTCAGACACTACATTTTCCCCAGTGGCTGCAGCCTGAAACAGTGTTGTTTTTCTCACTTTTGTTGGGTGTTTTTTCTTAAGTTAGAGCTTTTTTAGGTGTTCATTTTCCACAGTAGAAAAATTATTTTTATTGTACAAAATTCATGTTGCCAAATCTGGCTTTTTATAAAACTAGTGCTCTTGAAACATAAGATACTGATTGAAATGCCAAACAGAGGGGTTGGGAACTGACCTGATTGAGTCAACTGCCAAATGATTAACATACACAGTTTTAGCTCATGTGTTCCCTTTTTTTTAGAAGGTGTTCCGTTTTCTAATGCCAAAACCAACAATGTAAGTGAATATGCTATGAGGTGTACCGTGCACATGCTTGTGGTCTACTAATTTAAAAACAGTTTAGATCTCTCCCTTTGTCATTTATGACATGATGTTGTTTTCTGTAATAATTCCAAGGCATCTTTAGTTGTATAATATAGAAGTATTAATGAGAGATCATATTCAGGAACCTTTCTTGATAAGGTTGCTTGTTAACTAATTCACAGGCATTTGATAGGCGTTCATGCAAAACAGCCTCTCTCAATGTTCTTTAGAAATTTATAAATGTAAATGAAGCAGTGAGAAAATCATTCTTTAAATTTAAATGTGCAATTTTTTTAACAACAAAAATGCAGCACACGTAGATGAGCTTTTATTCTGCAGATTGAAAGGTGTTTTTTGACCAGGTGCATGATTGCTAGCAAGCTATAGAAAACGCAGAGTTCAGACTTGTAATTGGATTTATTATCTGCAATGCCAAGTAGCACTGCAGTGCACTTAACACACAGATTGCAGCCACACAGCAGCAGATGGGAGGTGGAAAAAAAGAATGGCTTATTAGTTGATTACCAAAGTTAACAATAAATACTAATGAGATGTTTTTCATCCTTAACCCTCCCAATTCCAAAACAACAGTAATAAGAACAGTTGCTATTTTTTGCTCCCTCTTAAAACACCTTGTAATTTAAAACTGGTTGTAGGTATAGTGCAATTATGAATGCTATAATCATTGTACATACATATATATATATATGGCAGCATCCATATTGGCTTTGTAATCATTAATTTTTGGCAAATTGAATGTGCTGTATTGATATGTATCTATGTAATTGTATTGTATGTCTTATAGCTAATTCACATTTTAAATAATGTTATTTTATTTACTTTTTTAAGAGACAAGAATGTAAATTTTGTCAGTTTATTTCTGACTAGGGATTTGTTGTTTTTATTTACAAAACAAAATACTATAGTACAGAGCGGTACTAGCATCGTGCTGTATAAAATCATTTCCACATTCCTGAGTAGGAGTTAATTGGAAACACCCACACAGAGGTCATTCACATTCAAAACAATGCTTAAATCTTGTCAGGGCTTTATACAGCTGTAGAAAACAATCTTATTAGAGAACTTAGGCCATTATATCTCTAATTGGAACATAAGCTTTAAATATAAATTAAATTTTTATTTGTCACATTCTTATTAGGTTACTTTTACTTTTCTGATAGGATATATTAGAAAAGTAAATTCAGAGGTATTTCAAACCATTGTATGTAAGTACTAGTGCGTATGCTGTTGCCCTGAAAATACCATGATAAAATATAAAACATCAGTTCAATAATCAGTCTTTCAGAAACTGCAGAAACCTTATGAATAATAACAACAACCAAAAAGTCACTATTATTAACATTTTTAAGGAGTTAAAGTGTTTTATTTGAAAAGTGACACTGACATTCTGAATAGGGGATCAGAGCGGTGACTCTTTCTTGCATACAGCTTAACAATAACAGGTCCTAATCTTGCTATAAATGCAACAGAGCTTCTGTTTTCACAGTTCCACTGTTGATAATATCCTGTCTTTCAACCTGGGAATACATTGCCCGCACTGGATTCACTGCTATAAATGGAACTGTAGCCAAAAAAAAAGAAAAAAAAAAAAGAAAAAAAAAAAAAAAAAAAAAAAAAAAAAAAAAAAAAAAAAAAAAAAAAAAAAAAAAAAAAAAAAAAAAAGGTAAAAAAAAAGGTAAAAAACCCAAACAAACAAAAAGCCACACCAGACAGTGGTGTCTAACAAAGGTTTGGGCATTTTTAATTTTTTTTTTTCTTACGGGATATTGGGTGGGGGAACAGGAAATGTGGTTCAGAGTTTTGTATAAAAACAAAACAAAAGTTTACTCATGCTTTATAGTTATATTGTGATTGCAAAAGTTTTCAAGAGTGTGTGCCACTGGGCTATTTTCTGGTATTTTTTAGGTGAGTTGAACCTGTGGCAATGTTTAGATCATTTGAGCATGTTCTGGAAAAAAAGATACTCAGCATGCCAAGGCAAGCTTTACATGAATCACCTAACACAGCATTGCAGTGTAACAGTTTACAAAAACATTTCCTTTTTAAATGACACAGCTGTTCCCACTTGTAGTATATTTCATTGTGGTAGTGGTGGTGGTGGTGCTGTTATTTTAATCGGTGGTTTCTACTATGCCTTATAGTGCTTAAGTCCAGAAGTTTGTGCCTCTAACATGAAGCTGAAGGCAAAAACATCAAGACAGAAACCCTTTTAACTTTGCCAAAATGATGTGTTTTCTTTGAATGTTATAAATGGGGGAGGAGGGAAGGAAAACATCTCGGGAACCTGTGTATTCTAGATGTTCACTAGCACAAGAAAGCTGTAATACATATTTTACAGAAACCTTGAACTTGCCTTTTTCACTAATTAACTGGCACTGTCCTTACAGATGTAGGATGATGCAGCTATAAGGGCAGTTTACTTTTTATAATTCAGTCTCTTTTGATTGTCAAGGTGTATGGACTGTAATTTTTAATCATACTGCCACATGATTGTGAATCACTTTTTAAAGTCTGAAAGTAGAGAAGAGACTTTTAATGCTGGATAACAGTCAGAATTGACTGCATGATCTGCAAAAACTCTATATGGGGGAAAAGGGCTGCATATAAAGATATTGCTAGACTCCCAGCCTTGGGTTGTAAGGTGCAGAAGACTTTCAGATTATTCAACTTCATGACCCTTTCCTTGTTAAACATTCTTCACAAAAGAATAAAATATTAGGAGAAAACAAGGACATGTTAACCCACATGAAAAAAAAAATAAAATTTAGACAAGAATTTATTATTATGTGCTGCTATTTTTGGAGCTCTGTGCATGGTTTTCCTGCAGACTATTACATTAGTGAACTAATGAAATGTTCACAGCATATTAACAAGGCCTACACATGACCTACCTCCAGTAAGATCAGTAAAGTAAATATGTTTTGGAGAGACCGACATAAGTTAGGAAATTTAGATGTCCTGGTATAGGTAATTAACTATGGTATTTTAGAAATGGACATTTTGCAAAGATGGTCCCTCTTTTGATATAAACCATAAATTCTAAAATTTGAATAGGCTTTAAACAACTGAAGTCATCTGACCCTGTCCAGTTTGTTAGTTTAGTAGAGGTCTTGCAAAACAATACATTTAGTTTGAGAAGTGGAGCTGCTGATACCTCCTCTGTTTTGACTTTTGGTTACTCATCACATTTTGAGTTCTCTCAGTGAACCACAAAACTTTCCCATGTAGTCAATACATGGAGGTCAAGATTTAGCTAGTTAAAGGGATTTTACTGTAAATTTCATTTGAGCTTTTTCACAGCAGCCATGCTGCAGGAAAAAAATATTTTGAACATATTGTCAAAATATAAAGTTAGCCATATGAAGCTTAATGTAAATCTGTTGATTTGGGTGGGGGTTACTCTCAAAATACAGTTTAAGTCTGTTGCTGGATTCCTCATTCACCATGCTGCAGGAAATCCTTATTTGACCAGTTTTAATTATTTTTTTTTTTAGGGAGGAGTGTCAGATGCATTTTAAAACTTAGAGTATTTAAAAATAAATATCATGTTTGCTGTTCTTAAAGTGTCATTTAAGTGCATGTATTGTATGTTGCTTGAGGGACAGAAACAGGTTTTTTTTGAAAAACTAATATTGTACAGTTACTGCCCCTCAAAAATGTTGCTGGTTTAAAATACAGTATTTTTGGCCATACCTTCGTACTATAGTATCTTCATTCCTGAAATTTAGTTTTTCTGAAATACTGTTTGGGCTTATTGTTCTCCCAGAGTGCTTCTTGTTATGGTAAATGGTGGATAGATGTGTTACTCCACAATTAATTTTTAATTATGAGTGCTCCATCATCATTGTCTAAATATTGAAATTTCCAGAATATCTTTATTACAGCCAGAGATTCAAAACATTTGAGGTTTGTTACAGTGGAGACAGTAATTTGACATTATTATTAAAGGTTTAGAGTTTTTTTGGCTTGTGTACAGTGGAAACACAGAAGCAGGGGTGGGGAAGAGGGAAACCTCATACCTTACTACTAGAAAATTCAGACTGTGTAGACATGTGAATATCTTAAGGATTTTGGATGATTACAGTAGTACTGCCAGGGCAAGGTATTCCTTAGATCGTTTTTTTTTTTTAGCCTATATCATGGCAGGAATAACAGAAAGATGCCTACGTGCTGCTTTTCAGGAGTTTGGCTCATACTTGGTCAATGATCGGTGGATCTCCAGTCTTCATTACTGAAGAAATAGAATTTCAAGCTAGTTGCAAAAATTAGTTTGTTTTCTATTAAATGATCACAACGGTTTAAGTAAAATTCCAGGAGTGCCAAAAGTTTACCTAAGCAAGGACTTGAGTGAATGGTTCCTCATTTTAATTTCCAGTTGCAGAATGTAAGGGAGAGGGGTCAGAAGGGAAGGATTTGTTTTATCTTTATGTCTCAGTGAAGATAATGTCAACAAAATACAGTGTCAATGGTGACTTGGATATGTGAAATAGATGTAGAAACTATTTGTATGAGAAATTGTGCGTAGTTGTGATTAAAACCTTACATCAGATACTACAATCATCTCACCTGATTGCTGAGCACTTTGTAGGATACTGTTCCAAACACTTAGGAGTTCAACAGTATTTGTAGACTGCCACGAAATACACAGTTGCCAGCTCCTCAGTAGCACACCTGGTATCAGTATCTGACATCAAGACACCTGTCCCACTCTAACTGCTACAAAAAAGAGCTACCTTCCGAGACCACCTCTGTTCCCAGTTTTCAGCTGCTGGGAATTTGTTCTCTCCCTCATTTCAGCCTTGCTGCTTTGCCAGTGAGCTGGATGAAAAAGAAAAATGAAACCCTCATTTTTGCTCTTCTTGTTTGGCTGCTTTACTAGTCTAATTTTCAGGGTAGTCAGCTGATTTGGTTGACCAATATTTCCAACAAGTGCTAAGCTGACTAAGTGGAAGAGGTAGAATTGTGTGGCCAAAAGGCTTAGAAATTAAGAAGAAAAGGAGCCTTCTCCCTTTTAAACCTTGTCCTGTAATATCTAAACCCTTCATTTTATGCATTGAGGGGGGTTGGTGGGGAAGGCTATTAGCTATTCTGACTTGGCAGGGTTGCACTTTTCACTTTAAGAGGTCTTGACTGCATTTTTATCTGAGAAAAAAAAAAGGAATTATAGAACAAGGAAAACACTTTCCTGCTCCCCTTTAAAGTTTCACAAAAGTTTCTGTATACATGGACTAAATGCAACTGTAGTCACACCAACGCCAACCAGTCACCCTTAGTGTTAAGGATGGAGAAATATAAGAATTGGGCTTTCCTTCATCTCATGGGGAGAAAAAAAAAAATGAAAGGAAGAAAAAATAGTTTATTTCCAGTAAGATCTTAAAAAAAGAAAGTTTTCTATCTTATTTAAAATGCTGTGCTGCTGTGCATGACATTCAAGGTTTGCTGTGTCCTTGTCCAATGCATTCCTTCCTTCTCCATTCACACTCGTCTATCACACTGATTAATTGCTTCCTGCCATCGAAAGGAAATACTTCTACAGTATTGCTTTATGTACACTCTGGAATACTTTCTGGTCCTTGTGAATTAAATGTAAATTGGTCTGATAGAATTCAACAAATGATGATGTGTAATACAGCTAAAGAGGAACACAATTTCTGCTTAATCTTGTTTCATGTTCCTCCTGCTATTTTGTTTTGATTATTTTTCTGTATCTTTCTTTTATCCTGTTTGCCATAAAGAGAAGGTTGCTTGATGTGCCAGTTTCAATTCTGGTAGTCATTACAGAATTGATTATACTGGCTGCATTAAAGACAAATTATGAATAAAAACAGCTTCGGAAGGTTCCTGTAATCTGGGGCAGATCCAGTTAGCCTTTTGGACAGGCATTTCAGAAAACAAAACTGTAACACTTTAGTTGGAGCATAGTAAGCTGAAGGATGTAGTAGGCAAATGTGAGCCAAATTAAGCCGTTGTAGTATGTCATTTCGCATTGTCAATAGAGAACTGTTTGCCAGGATGTTACTGAAAATTTGCTTTTTTTTCCTACAGTCCTGTATGAGGTGGTTAATGCAACAATTAGGCTGGCACTCAACTGAAGAGATGCTTTAATTTGACTATTAAGTTCAAATGTATTCTTACAGAGATTATTGCATAAGATTACTTTATATGATGCTAACAACAAGAAGAAAAGGTTACTTGCATGCAGTAAATATTTAAGATATTGCACTTTTATACATTTATTATAAAGAGGAATCACTCCCTAGAAATAAAATTCCATTTATCTCACAATGAAGTATCTGGAGTCTCTTAACAACTGGCAGTTATTGTACACTCAAGTATGAATATTTTATTCCAGAGGTTAGTTCATTTGTTACCATATGCTGCAAAATACTTGGTTTATTATAAATGCTGATTTTGGAAAGGCAGAGTAATGTTTTTATGACTATCTTGGTGTCTACTTTTCGCAGCATGTCTTAGGAGAACCTGATTTATTTTAGTTGGAAAAACTGATGTAATATCCATTGTCAGGGTTTTTCTTTAGAACTTCACTCTTTTATCTCAAAGTTAAGCA